GAGCTGTACATCTTTATGGACGTATGTTGATGCTCCGTACCCAGGCCTGTTTCCAGCCATAGTGGTCCTCGCAGCCCTGTGCCTTTGATGGCAGCAATGACAGCTGGAGAAGTTTGGGCCTACCCACCCACAGTTGGTGCTCCTTTCAGAAAGGATCCAAGTTTTGTACTGCCTGATACTGGATCTGTCAGGAAGCATTATTTGGATGCGTTAGGGAGAATAACCTGCTCACCTTATACCTTCACTCAAACCATAAGCCTAGAGCTCTACCAGTCAAACATCTTTTGTAAATACTGATTTTTTAAGGGCCAAAAAATGGTGCAAGATCTAGTTTTAGGCGGCATCTAGTTGGAAAACAAAAATACCTGAGATCTATTTGATCTCAGTTTTGCCTAACTCAAGCCCAAATAGCAAGGTTCTGCAAAACCAGAATGAACTTTTATTTGGAGACAGATTATGTCTAAACTTTCTCTTCCAGAGCCCTTTCCAAAACCACAGATGTAAAGTAATGCCAAACAAGCAATAGCGTTGAAGTCACCTATATCAAAATACTACCTGTCCTGAGATTAATTTCTGATGTGGTGTAGTACAGGTATTGCACCAACTAACACATGTTGTCCCCCATGTTTAAGCATCTCCTGCATCTAAGTGCATGCAAATGTCTAGGCTTAAGGCCAGAGGAAAAAAATACTAAGTTTAGTTTTCATTCTTTTTGATCAGAGACTGCAAATGCTTTGGGTCAGGATTGACTTGTTATGCAATGGGTGGACAGTATCTAGATTCAGTGGAACCCAAATCTCTCTAAACGTTTCTGTAACACAAGTGATCATTAATATTATTTCAATGTAAAAATGGCATCTTTGTGAATGATTCAACTTCTCAGAAACAGATGAGAATACCACTAGTATATGTTTTGCTATGTTTGAAAGCGTGCAGTTAGATGTGTATCTTACAAACATAAACAAACACCTCCCATCCAACCTCCATGTTTCTAAAAACACGCAGGTTTGTTTAGACAAGGGGTTGATAATCCAGTTTGAACACAGGTATCTGAATGCTGTGACAGCTTCTTCATAATGCTAAGCTTATGGTACATTAAACTTTAAAGCAAGATAAACTCCTGCTTTCATTTTATCAAACATCTTCCCAGACAGCAAAAAGAAAGACACAAAGCAATGTTTGCAGCTACAACCAAGCATGGGATACCCAACTCAGCGCATGTTTGAAACGAAAATGAACAATATGTTGCATACTACTGTATTTTTCAGTAGAGAATATCACTGAAATTTGTAAATGTTAACCTCATTCCTCCCTTAAGTGTTTGTTTTTATTTCATGCCTGAAAAGAACCTGAGATTCACAGAGATTAAGTGAATAGAGGCAGCAGTCCTTACAATTGAGAAAGAAAGTGCTCTTAAAAGAAACTCCTCTGATAATCAGTTTGGCTAGTAGAAATCACAGGAGGTGGGAGGGACATGGACAAGAGATTTTTTAACAGTGCTCAGTGTTGTGCCACTGGTATTACTGAACTTTATGTATTTAGCCATATTATGCCTTTTTGTGGTTGGTAAAGCAGTAATTTCATTGTCTATCACAATAGTAATGAGGTAGCAAGAGCCATTGAAGAATCCATGATATGAGGTCTGCAAGAGACTTTGACCTACTGAGAGCAAGTAGTAAGGATAGGGAGGGTAGTGGACAGCTAAGTCCTTCAGGAATGGGGAACAGCAAGCAGGCTTGAGCACATCAGTTAAATTAACAGATTACCAAAAAAGCAACCTCAGGTGTGTTCTTCCCAGTTCAAATCTGAAGAAACTATGTACCCAAAAGTTTCTCTGTTCTTTCTACTCCCAACATTAAATCAACTACCTTAAAAAGCCTCTCCTTGTAGCTGACTTAAGGTCATGTGGAGGATAAACACTGAGGGATTATTGTCGCTGAATTTTCCACTGATTTAAAATTGACACAATACACTACACGCATCACCTTCATATTACACTGATGACAACACATGAGAAATCAGAGGTGTGCTATTAGAGGATTTGTTATAAAGAGTTATTGATGATCTTCATTGTACCATAAATAACAGTCTAAAAAAAATGACCAAATCATCCAAGTTTCCTCCTAAGACCTGTATCTTCTCTAGAAGTTTATTTTTATGCAGCTAGAGCCTCTCCTCCCTTTCCCAGTCAAGCCTTGCTTCTCTCCCTGCTTCATATGACCTCACCTTACCCAAAAATGTGAAGAGATTGGTCTTATCACAACTTAGGAAGATACCACCTGCCAGCTGAACTGTGATAAATCACAGCTGGCCTTACAATACACATGCTAACAGTGACTGAGGCTGAGCCAACAAGCAGCAGCTCAAGGGTGTCATTTAAACCACCATGTATCCCCATCCACAAATACCATGCTAAGGAAATAGCTCAATAACACAACAGTTGCCATGACCATGTTACTATTCTAGTGTGCGTTAGATCTGTCGACTCTCTTCTCCACCTGCAACTACCTTCTGTTTAGCCCGTAAGCCTTTTACAGCCCACAAGGTGGACAAACTGCCTATTCTTTGTACTCACACAACAGTTGACACAATATGACCCCAATCAATCATAAGCTACTACCATAACAAAATTTACAACAGCAAATATTCATTCCTCCCTTCCCCCATGACTGCCCTTCTGAAAAGATACAATGCTGGCAGAAAAAGCTAGAAAAAGAAGAATTCAGAAGTTATTAAAAAATGAGAATAAGGCTTAGAATGAAAACGTCAGAGGAACTTGAAGAGTTATTACTTTATTATTGCTCCTGCCATATATAACACTTGGGTTTTCTGACTCCTAGAAGAGCCAGACAATTGTGTATGCAACATGATTGTAATAAAAACATTCTCTAGAATTAGGGACCTGCATTTCTATTAGCAACCTTTTACATACTCTTTAAATAATTTCTTGAAACCAAGGTTTCAGCCACGAATAAAGGAAGCTGTGAGCACGCATTGGTTTTTACTCATTTGTTTAAACAGACGTGCAGTATAAAGAAACTATAAAAAATAGACTCTCAGATGAATAGGTTGACAGGTTTGAACAACAACGACTGCACTTGCAGATGTGCTTTAAGCCATTAACCTTACAGGTTCAGTCACTGCATTATACTGAAATAAATGGATCTGAATAGCTTAGCCACCAGGCAAACCTACCAATAGCCCACAGATGTTGCCCAGCATATTTCACTGAAAGTTTAAGAAACACCAGCTTCTCATTGGAAGAGTGACCTATAGGCACCTGTATCTAATAAGATACTTAAAATCAACCTGTATGTGTAGATCAACAAGATTGGTTAGTAATAACCATTGGCAGGTAAGAATATAAAACACTTTCCCATATAAAACTCCAGCTTCCTTTACTTGTTGCCTTAACAGTACTCACCTTCAGCCAGGAAAGGAGAAACACTGAATGCGGTATCTCTACTGCAAGGCGATTTCCCACCTCACTCCTAAATTGGACTTTTTGAAACTTATATGTTAGGCACTCAATTCAGCAGCTGACTGTCCACAGCCAGGAGCCTCGTGTAACTTTGACTTCAGTCTGAAATTACAGTTAGGTTTGTTTATGGAAAGACCAAATTCTGCGCTAAACTGCCATGTCTTCACTTCAAGGGGAGGAACAGCCTTCCTTAAATTGAACCCGAAAATGAGGCTCTGAAGAAGCATGAACCAGAACATACCCTACATTTACATGGAGCAGTTCTGTGTCTTCAGAGACCTCAGCACATCTTGACATGTACTACGTGGAAGCATCAGGCTCTTTCAGCTGTCACACCAGTGGCCAGATCTCGCCAGCCGTTTTGCTGCATTTCTGAACTGTGGATGTGCCTCTGCCCTCCCTCTCATTCCCTTAAGCTTACAGAGATCCACAGGTCAGCAGCTAAACAGCATGGTTTTACTGAAAGATCTAGTGCTGCCATTCTTTTTCCCAGTAAAATTCAAAGGAAGTATGACGGACCTTTGTGATGATTTGGGCAGATCTTATTAAGAAAGTAGGCTCACCCACCTACTTGATATGGCAACGCACATCAAATATGGGCTTGACTTGACTCTTTTTTAGTCTCTCTAGACCCTCCCTTGACACACAAGGAAGTTGAACAAAGCTCAACAGGGTCAAAGAATGAAGAAATACGTGCAGAAGTGATCTGTCATTTACACTGCTACAACAATTGTGCTAAACTCATGGTGCCATCATTATTCTCTTCTAGATAAGCTTTGGGCTTTTGTCAGAGGTTCTTTTTCTACCACTGTCCCTGAAACTTTTTCTTCAACACACATACAAATGAGAAAAAACATTGGTTGACTGGAAGGTAGGATTTGAAGAGGTATTCAAGTAAAAACAGTCAGAAAAGCACTCCCAGTTTGGCTAATTTAATTTCTGAAAAAAATTATCTGGACAGGGTGGGTTTTTTTCGTTTCAGCACAGCTCACTGCAATGCCTACTGTGCTAACCATTATGGCTGTTGTTATTCTGATTTGTATCCACTACTCAGTGTGGAAAGAACAAGAGAGGAAATTCAAGCAGCAGTTAAAGTGTCTGTACACTTAAGCCAAGAAACCTGGCAAGGGACAAGTGTGCAGCATAGTACAGAGAAGAGGTCCAACAAGACCCTGCAACAAGTACTTGGTTTCTTTCTGACCAGCACCAATGTTCCTACTGCCTACAGAAATTAATAAGAAACCAACAATAATAAGTTCTTAATTTTGAAGACAATTTTTGTTAGCAGTTTGTTGTTAAAGCACTTACAAGAAAATATTGCAAGGAGAGAATTCTCTAAAAAGCATCATGAGTTTTGTGAATATTTATTTCAACCTCTGCATCCAAACCAACTCCCCTCCGTGTCACTTCTAGCCAATTGTCTTCCAGTTTCCCCTTATGAATAAAAGACTATAAATGTTGGGGGAGCTTCAGCAGGCTTTGTGTCTGATATGCAGCCCATATCATCGTTATCACTTACCAATACAGCAGAACCAGGAAGACCGCCAGCAAAGCCAGGGTGACCGTTGCACTATTCATTTCTGAGGAGGCAAATGCCAGGAGATCTACAAGCTCCATATTCCTCCACTACAGCTCCAGCCTTGACTAGTTGAGTGTGTGTGCAGGGGAAAGTTTCCTCAAGAGCTGATAAAGCCTTCCACAGCTATATGAATGACATCTGCAACAAAACAGGAACCAAGAGAGCAAAAATACATCAAGTCAAGTACAAACTGCAAACCTTTCCTGTTCTCATCGACTGGACTCTCTGAGGGAGAACTTGAAGGTTCCCCGAATGGTAGGATGTAGCAATTTCCCCCTCCCTCCCGCTGTTGATAACTGTCATGCCAGTAAATATTTACATACCCACTGCTTGAGACATCAGTGCTGTTGAATAGGTTTTTAGACATCAAGTATGGGAAACTGGGGAAAGTGTGGGGAAAAAAAGAGGGGGAGAGAGCCTGACCATGGTACAGATCATGGAAGAAGAATATAAAGACCCTTCAGGGGTGCCCTGGCACACAAACAGTGGCACTCTCTGAAGTAACAAAAGTAGAGCATTTCTGCAACATAAAACTTCATTAGTACTTAATCTCCAAACTGGTTATACCTTAAAAGAATGGAACAAAGTAAACTTTAAATTCTCATAACTAAAAGGAGGGATTAGGGGAAAACTCTTCTAATGTGACTACTAGAAGACATATATAGAAAGAAAAACTAATGAGCAGAAAAACCCAACTGTGGTACCAGGGTCCATAAGTCAGCATCTGTCACACCAGTTAACCCACACAGACAGCACTGTTTGGCTGTATCATCTCAAGTTCATGAGTACTGCTGCAAATTTTCCTGGATCAATGCAGTGCTCCCCCTGAAGGTACCATTAAACTAGCCTCTCGGGGATACTTTGGCTACCCCTGCATTGTATTTCTAGTATAAGGGTTAACATCTATCTCTGCATTGTGGCATAGTCAAGCTTTCACACTCCCTTGAACAACCTACACATGAACAGTCAAGCTTTGACTGCAGTTCAGGAAACGGTTTGTCCGTAGTATATGAATTCCTCAGCTTTCTTCCATATTTTCCTGCCTGCAAACCTCAATCCTGTTTCAAGCATCTGATCCAGTCCAATTAGAAAAGTCAACCAGAAAGCAAACCTTCTATGAGAGAAGACCATCAACCTGTTACACTCGAAGTTACCAGATGCCATTATCAAAAAAATCCTCAGGATTACAGCAGCAGCAGCATGGTTACTTATGAAACTAGAAATACCCATATATGCATTGCAGCCTTCCCACCTACTCCATACAACCTATTTGAAAGTTAAGGAAATCAAAACTACCCAAAAAACTAGGTTTGTGAATTATATGGTAACCTTGAGAAACAGAAATTCTGCAACATCTGATTCCCATAACACACCAGATGAAGAGTGGTTTCTTCTCATACAACCCCAAGATAATAGCTTAGATTTAACGTGCAAGGCTTCTCCAATATCACTGTATTACATTTTCAGCTCTTATCAGAGAAGTTAATAATATAGGTATCAGAAAAGTAAAGTCTCTAACACAATGGAGTTTACTTTTAAGAAGATTTGGCTCTACTCTAACTGAATCACTGCTATTTCGGTTCTCTGTGCTTCACAACTGCATTAATTCCCTTCCAGCCTCAGATCCTTGCAGAATAAGTAAAAGGTGTTAACCAGCTCATCAGCTCCACAGAATAGCACGGTAGTTCACAGAAAACCTTGCTTATCGTATTAACAATGCTATTGCTATTCTGGGTCAATAACAGCTCTGCCGGTTTGCTGCTGCTGCCAAGTTCTCCAAGAACAACTGCAACAAGATTCAAGGCCAGTGGCATAAGGAATTAATCAGTGGGCACAAGCCAATCCCAACCAGCAACTAATCTCTTTTCCCAAGTAACAAGCGATAGGACGAGAGGAAACAGCCTCAAGTTGCGCCAGGGGAGGTTTAGATTGGATATCAGGAAAAATTTCTTCACCAAAAGGGTTATCAAGCACTGGAACAGGCTGCCCAGGGAAGTGGTTGAGTCACCACCCCTGGAGGCATTTAAAAGACATGTAGGTGTGGTGCTTAGGGACATGGTTTAGTGGTGGACTTAGCAGTGTTAGGTTAATGGTTGGACTCGATTATCTTAAAGGTCTTTTCCAACCTAAACGATTCTACGATTCTATGTGGGACTTTTAAGAAAAAAATAAAAATCAAATATCCATATGCATTAAAATCTCTTCAAAAAAGAAACCCAATCACCACAAGTGTAGAAGGTAAGAAATAATACTCTGATTTCACTTGTGCTTTAATTTACTTGGCTTTTTAATTAAAGGACATATTTATCTGCACATAGAGGACAGAGGACTATCAGCAAACACAGAGTCAAGTACAGACCTCACTTATTTTTTAAGAAGTACACTGGAGCCTTTTCCCAGTCACACTAGGAGGTAGGTGGGATGAATAGTTCTTAAACACACACATAATGAAAGAAAATAGGCTCTCACATCAGCATCCAATTTGGAAGAGCTAATAATCAAACTCCCAATGACAACAACCATCCTTTTCTGTTGTTGGTGTTGGGGTTTTCTTTTTGTTTTGTTTTTTAAGCCTTGGCACCTGTTTCTTGCTGGAGGGTTTTAACTTGGCACCTCCAACCATTAAGAAGGGTGGAGCACAGCACTGACTCTAAAACCCACCTGGAGCACTCCTCACTGGTTGCAGTTACCATCCCAGAGTTAAGGATCTCAGCTCGCTGAAGAGTCACAAAAATCCACATAATGTCCTTTGCAGGACAGGGCGGGAAAGGAGTCAGGGATGCAGACAGCAATGAAGACAGGCTATTTATCACTCCTTTGTCCAGTGTTCCCTCTCTCTTTACAGGTCCTTTACAATAGAAACACCATCCTAGTTAACTAGTTAATAGCACAGATATTTTTCACCAACCTCCCGGTTCTTTTTGTGGAGCCCCGCTGGTCAGGCTGATTATGATAATGGTATCAAAGAACTACAGATACGAAGTCCTCACTAACTCCATGCTGGAGGAAGCCAGAGGCAAGCCGAAGTGGAAGAGAGCCTTTTCCTGTCAGACTGCTATGAGTCAGCAGCACTGCCTGTGTTCGCCTCCACAAGGCTTCACTCAAGATTGCATCTACCAAGGTTCACAGCTCCTTGACGCAGTGCTATCCGAGCTCTCCTCTTCCATAGCAAGTAAAATCCACAGATCACCACCTTGTTCAACACAAACTTCAACAACAACAACAAAACACGTTCAACACAAACTTACACTCAAGACATCCATCTCATCCTTCAATCCCCAGCACTGCCATAACTGCAGCCTTAAAGCTCCCCAGCAAATGGCAGACCTACAAGACAGAAGCCGTTCAATCCTGAACAGCCACAGCTTCAGCTTGGGCAGATGTTTGCAGCAGTAAATATTAAAAAAGGGAAGTACATTTTAGCATTCAAAGTGTGAGAACTTGAAGTGTTCCTCCACTGAAAAAAAACCCCAGCGCACAGAGAATCCAGATTGTCTGGGAAGCCTTCATGCCTTAAAGCCCTGTCTGCTATAACTCCAGGAATATTTTCTGCAAATGCTCTTCCAAAACAATGCATTTCAACTTCAGAATGAATACCAGTGTGGCGATGAGCCTCAGCAATGCCTGACATATGCAAGTGTCATTCAGACATGAACTATAGAGGTTATTAAAAAGCAGGATTATAGACCTTCTCAGTAGACCTAATCATGTTAAGGATTTTGACCTGTCTTCAAAGCATATCAAATGGAAAATGTAGTCCCATGTATTTCAGAGGCTAATGACTAACCGGCTAGACTAACCACGAACTCCTGCTGATGACCAAATTCAACTCCTCTCATGCTATTCTACCTCATATGTTTTAGGTCTATAATAATCTAATTAAGGCTGAGCCACACCAACTTTACGATAGATGAAGGAAGTCTAGAAAGGTGTTAAGTTTTAATTTTATAGCAGTTCTTCTCTATAGAAATTTGTAGTCTTCAGATCAAGGAAATTCTGTTATATAGACAGCTTAGCCACAAAATACTGCAAATGAAATTCCACAGAACAGCTTAAAAAAACCATGAGATTAATCAGAGACTAGTTTATGTATAAGCTTTAACAAAGCCCATGTACAAAACTGTGTGAGTATATATGATACTAATTTATCTTAAAGACAAAAACCTTTCCAAAGCCAAAATGAATTCTCAACATCTTTAAGGTAGACCAATCAAAAAGATCAAAGGCACATTTCACAGAGAGATTTTTTACATTTAAAACAACCTTAATAGCCAAAGTACTGGGAATATTAATGTATTGGAATAGAGGGATTTACAGTGGCCGTCTATGACTTCATTATTACTATCCCTGTTCAAGGATTGACCAAGCAGATTAATCAGATGATTTTGTACTCCTGCATGATAAACTATGACAAACTACTCAACAGACAGACCACTGAGGCATCGGAGTCCACTTAAAAAGGTCCTGCTCTGCATTCAAAACGGACGGGAGCACCAAAAGGACACCACAGGCTCATGGAAGATTCTTGAACCACCTTGAGTAAAATCACTCCAATGAACTGGATCTCGAAAGGCAAACACGGTAACTGTGAAACCACACTGAGGAAGCCACTTTCATGACACTTCCTACTGAGAAACAGAAAGACACACTTTTATACTTAAATTGTTTCCCCAAGTCAGAACCCGGTTATATTAACCTAAATGCTTCTCAGAAAACAGGCACCCAGCTTAAAATTCTAGGAAAGCTAAAATATTATGCAAACTTGTACTTCACTAACAAATTTAATCTTAGCTGACCAAAAGTTATGGTACTTCAAACTCAGTCAATATCACAGGGGCTAAAAAACTCATTATGCTAACTAAATGTAGTGCCGCTGTACTAAGTCCCCTCTAAAGCAACAAGCTGTGAGATATCCTAGTTATTTCAAAGAACTCCACTTAGAAATAGCACAGATTTTGTGGTCAAAAGGAATGACAGTTTCTTCCTCTTGCTGTGAGAGCTCGGAATGAGTTTCTAAAATAAAGTTACCTTTGCTAATAGTGACATTAAGATCTTGCAGCCTCAGTGAAATTCCAGAGAAAGCAGAAATTAATGTAACATCTGCTGCCCGTGGCCAGGCATTTCTAAGCAAATTGACT